CTTTTGCCCTAATGGACCCAAGTTTATTATTTTACTCTGTCTGACACCAGACAGATAATTATGCCACAATTATCAGTAAATTGACCAAACACACCTCCAAAACTAAAAGCTTTAGTTCTCGTTCTGATAGAAATGATGATGTCTTTGCATTTTGAGGAGGAAGCTGTTCGTATGTCGGCTCTATAAAATACAGAGGTATTTCATTATAACAAAATAAAACACATGTTCATTTTGGTGTTGCTATTTCTCAACAAATTCGGATATTTGTTGTACTACAGTACGGTACCTCGTAAATGTTTTATGTGGTCGACAGCCATTCGTAAGACTGTTAATTTATCTGGTTTCTTTGGGTTCTCATTACATGTTGGTACCATTTCCGACAGTTCGTTGATGTAAGAATTCATCTTATTTCTTCGCCTTCGTTCAATTTCGCTGTGGTTCTCTCTATAAAAATCATCAATTGTTTACAATTAAAAAGCACTATTAATCATATAGGTTGTTCCAGAAAAGATCCATACTCTCCTCAAGAAGGAAATTTCTGCCATCCGTTGGGGGAGGGGAGAAAAATGTGTTTCTAATAATAGTAAGTGTATTAGGACATCTGAAAGGGGTGGGGGAGGGGGGTTAACTTCCAATTTCTTCCATGGGGGAGGCATAGATGTTTTCTGGAATGAATGATCCAATTGCATTATGTGAACTCAACAAAAATAATTTCTTATCAGTATACCGGGCAAATCTTTCCCTCGAGCTCTCGGGATCGTCGCTTCTGTTACAAGAAAAGATCAATGCCAGATATTACACAATACAATTATTCAGGTGTGAATTATAGGGGAAAATCTATTCCCCAATATTAATTTTAACCCTTCAAGTGGCAATACGCCCTGGACGCCCTACTTTATTATTTTACTCTGTCTAACGCCAAACGATTTTACTTGTTAATAAGAAAGTGCTGCCAATTAAAAGGTTAACCCTGCATTAAGTTGCATTTCGCCCTACTTCATTAATTTATTCTGTCCAACGCCAGATGATTTTATTCATCAATAGTGCTGCCACTAAGGAATGGATATTGACAATTTGGCAACCCCATTAGACATTGCACTATTGTGTCATGAGAATTTCAATTTAAAACAAATTAGAGTTAGGCATAAGAAAATCACTCGTTAAGAATGATTACAATATTAGTCATCAGGCATTTAGCCAGGCGGCCGTCCAACTGTCCCATGGACACCCACTTTTAAAATAAAGGCGGCCTTCCTAAGGAAATATTTTCTTTAAACAGTAACTCGCAAGCTTTGATATTTCTTGAATACCTAAAAAGTTGTCCGCCGTTGTTAATCTATTGTATAAGAAAAGACGCTGAATAATGAGTGTACGAGGTTGCCACACCCAGTATTTTTTGGATGGCTAGTTTTGACACCCTGGCTAAAAGCCTGTTGGTCATTGCTCACAACACCAACCAGAGAAGCTTAGTGTGAAATGTAGTGAGTCTATTCTAAACGTACTTGGACTTTTTAGTTGGGATTGAAGGAGAATCACTACGTCCATCATCATCATCGCCATCCGAGTATTCTCTGTAGCAAATATAAAACACAATGAGTTGGGTTTGGCGGTACTGGTGAAACAGTGGTTATGAATGTGTGCTTTCCATCTCTGGGACTAGGGTTCGGTTCCTTGTATATAAGGTTGTCTAGCTATAATCTCATACAGGTGTAACTGGAAGGGGAGTGTTCTAAGGGGGATATAAGTCCCCTCCCCACAAAAAAAAGATCAGAATGGAAGAACTTAATATGGTCTCAGAAATGACTTGCGGCTAATAACAGGAATCTAGTCCGGCCTAGATATTTATAAATATGACAGAATATAATTTCTTTCGTTCATAATCAGCGAGCTTCCAATAGCTCAGTGGATATGGTGTGCGGCTTAATGTGTGATGCTGTGGTTCAAGTTCTGTTGAAGTAGTTTTACTTTTTGGAAACTTAATATTTTTTTTCTTTAAAACTTTTAATTTTTATTAACTCTCTGGGGATAGGGACATGGTTAGGGTTGTGTTTAGGCTTAGAGTAGGGTCTCCTGATCGCAGGTCGGACAAGATTCCTGTCATTAGCCGCAAGTATGACTAAGTTCCAGCATGTCGTCTGACTCAAATCTTCTGCAGAACACGGGAAATGCCATTTCACAAACTCCAGATTCCAACATTTTCTGGGGGGAGCATTCCCCCGAAACAATCCTATGTTACGATTCCCTCCTGTAGTAAATAGTAACATTGAACCAAACTTTATCCTTACCAAACCTACAGGAAGTACATAACTGATGAAGTTAGTTTACATATAACCAAGCGTATATATACACGGAAAAATATATTCCAAAACAACTTATCTTTATACATATGCAGCAATTACAGTATCTAAAAGATAAACACTCACTCTTTAACTAACAAAGTATCCTGTTTTCGTTTCGGCACAACTCGTCCACTTTTAGTCTTGTATAACGAAAAGTCTGCTGCTAAAAATAAGAAAGAAGCCGTGTTGTTTGTACTGTAAATATGCGATCGTTCTAAATCTAATACGAGATATACAATATCGACGTTTTTAGGTGTTGATAATTTGATAAAGGCCGTGACGTCTCGTATATATTGTATAAGAACCAAAGCAAAAACTATCAAAATCGACTAATATTTTCACTGTAAAAAAGAGTACTAACCTGTCATAGACTCGGCCATAATGTGGATAAATAAGCCTGGCAATTTGTTTCTAATTGTCTAGGCAAAAACTATAGAGACCGCCTGGCTTGTAAACAAACGTTTGTAGATTGTATTAGTCTGGCAAACCAGACATATTAGTGATATTACACAGGGACGTTGCCCACAAAAAACACCAATTCCTTGGAGAATATATCCACAAAAGCAGCAGTAATAGTATTATAAACAGAACAATAGCATTAACTGTTTCCAAAATGCATATATCCTTTCAGAAAAATCGAGAAGAATGGCTAAAATTCGCCGTATTAAATAGACACAAAGCTTTATTCCGCTCGGAACATTGAAATCCAATGACTCTACAGAGCGAGATTAACCAATGGGGAACCGGTTTAGATAATATGCTTAGTAATTGACCAATCAACAACTCCGGTTTATTGTTAATTATTTGTTCTTAATTATTACAGATTAGCGACCATCTTGAATTCTGGAAGGGGATTAAAATTATCTTTAATATTTTAGTTTTCATTGTACTATTTAATACTGTAACTGTTTTATTTGAAAATTGAGCCAACATAACATGGCATTTTAGGAAAAGAGAAAGTTATTATGGGTTTTAGGGTGGGTTGGCAAAGGACAAAGGTTGGAATTTCGAAAATTACATCAAACTTTGGTAATTTGATTGCAGTACGTGCAGCCTTACACGGTTTCCGCTTCCTTTCTATCTGAGAATTCATCAATTTTTATTTCACCAATTTCTACCAAAACTTTATTCCACCTTTTCTCCCTGCCAAACAACAAAAAACTATGAAGTTGATCAAAATGAACCCTTTTTGGTGCGTCAAAGACTCAAAAGGTTATGTTTAGTCACAGTCAGTACTTCGTCCACATGACGTCAATTTACGCAAAACTTCAGTCATGCAAAACTGTAGGTCGATCTTTGACGTCATGTCGGTCAAGTTCAGTACGTGGTTGATCCGGCTTTACAGTTTTATAGTTTACAAACCATTTCCTAGCTTCCTGACCTTCCTGTATTATTAATTCATGCACACTTTGACTTTGTACCACGACTCAGTACTAGAATAGTCATACCAGGTTTGCTATAACTGCTAGCCTTGCTAGGTTTGTGCACAACAAGTTGCCAACAAGTCCTGCCACAAATTTTCCCCCTTGCTTTATTGGGCGAGTAAAGTTGCGCAAGATATAAAACATGACGTCTTTGCCAGATTTACAGTCCAGTGGTCAAGTGATGTCAACCCCAGGGGACCTAGCCTATCAACTGTGGTCTTTCTGAGTGCTTAATGCCCTTAACCTTAATCTCAGGTGTATGGTACGTAAGATACTCTATTCCCGAATTTCCCGTACTTCAAAAGTGAAATGGACTAAATATCAATGAGGTGATGACTTTTTAACTCTATTGAGAAATTTTATGAGAATGTCACGCAGTCCAGTTTCAGTTTTCATCGAATCAAATTGATTCGAAATATACAATTTTTGAAATAGATTCTCAGTATATAGTATATTCATGCACACTTTATTCGGACAGGGGCGAATCTAGCCTCATACTTACATACATACATACAAAACTTTATTTAAACCACGCTAGCCTCAACAGCCGTTGGAAGGCTGGTTTCCATGAGGGGCGAGAAATTACCTATTTACAAAAAGTTACAGTTACAGGAAACAGTGGCGGCGCCAGGGGGGGCAAGGGGGGGCATTATGCCCCCCCAAATTATTTTTTGC